AGTAAATTTCATTATCAGAACATAATTTAATATATGTTTATATTTTTTATAATTTTATTCACATTATATTACTGATACAGGCCAATAATCTTATTAAACTAAAGATACGTTTTATAGCAACTAAGTATTCAAAGATAAAGTATCGATAATCTATATAATAGACAAAATTTATTTCGTACGCTTTATTATTTGTTAATTTTAGAAATTTTTTATGAAATTGTACAGTAGATTTATGATACACTTTCATTAACCTTATTGTTTTGAACATATTTATTATTAATTAAGTATTAATATATTATTTTTCGTGTAAAAGCATGTTTTAAATTTTATAGGCTGCACTACTTTGGTAACGAAAATATTATTCGACTATAAACGTAAATGGTAAATTTTAAAATTTTTACTCTTAAGTTTTTTTAAATTCTTTTTATTACTAATTTTTATTTATTTATACTTAAATAAAATCACACAACAATTTTAATTTTGCTAATTATATATAATTACTAAGTTCTACTGTTTTATTGTTAAATTTCTCTATTAAGAAGTAAAACGGGAAGCAAAAGTGAAAATATATTTAGTTCATTTTATGTTATTTGTGTTTATTAATATTAAATTGGTTATAATTTATTTGTTAAAGAATATAAAATTTTTAAGTTAAAAAATTAATATGCAATTTATTCAGTAAGACAAGACTGAAGGATGATAATTATTTAGTTATAGTTATATAATATAAAATACTTTTATTCTATAATTTCTTTTCTATTGATGTTGTATGTTCTTAAAAATATTTGAAAAACATGTTTCATACTATCAAAATTTGGAGAGAACATAAAACAAATGGATTACAACTTTTCCATTGATAAAATTTATTTCTACCTATTTAAATTAAAAATTATAATACTGATTATTCTTTTTATATGAATTTTGAGTAAATAACCTATATTTTTATAACATTTTACATAACTTCTTTTATAAATTATATAAATTCGAAAATAATAAGAATATATAAAACAAATTTAAGAAGTTGTTTTGTATATTCTTAGATAAACACGAAAAGTCACTAGTATTTAATTTAAAAATTATTTTGATTAAATATTAACGAATTTAAGTTAAAAAAAATCAATTTAAAAATTTCTAAAAATTTTTTCTGTGGAGATCAATTAAATAAAAACGCCTAAAGAAAAATTTGCAAAGTTTTTAGAATTTTTTTACTCCAGAAAGAGAAAGTGATTACTAAAATTATTTTTCAACGAATATTTTGATTAGATGATTGACCTTTTCCGAAATAAAAATGTGAAAGAGTTTTATAAACCTGAACATTTATATTATCTAAACAAAAATCCTTTTGGAATCTACGTTTAAGCCGAGGAAATAATACAAAGTAAACTGAAAAATATTAAAACGATGGATTCGGGATTAAATACTTAATCAGATATTTTGGTGGAAAGAGAACACTTATATAGCAATAACAGACTTTATTCAAAAACAATGCTTGTCCTATTTTAAAAATATGAGCATTTTTAAAGTTAAATTTCTCTAAATACATTTAAAATTTTATACATCTATTTATAATATGTATTAATTAATTTTTTAAAATAATTTTGCTATTTTATTATTTTATTAGATACATTTCATTAGATATAAAACATGACCAATTAAAAGTAATAAAAATAAAATTATTTTTATGAATATGTTAATTTAAAAAATTAGAATGGATTTATAAACTTTTTTTTTTTGTAAATTTTCTTTAATAAACCTTCGGTAAGAATCGGATTTTGAAAGATTAAGTTTCTTAATTATGATACAAACTCTTGTAAAACGAATATGTGGATTATTTATAATTAAACTAAAATATAATTATTTTAAATAAGAAACGTACAAAAAATTAAATGTTTTTAACTAAAAATGCAAATTTTTTTCATTTTTTAATATTTATCTAACAAATTAAATATTCAATTTGTTTATTGCTTATTGTTTAACTTGTTTAAAAACTGATTAAATAAATTTTTGGTATTGAGCTTTATTAATTTAAAATTTTTTAAACAATTTTTTTTAAAAATATAAATTTTATGTAATTCATTTTCTATATCCAGATTGAAAATTGAAGAACTCAATTATCAAAAATTTTATCTGTAGCAACAAGTTATATAGGCTAATTAATAGATACAGAAATATTTTGTATGATGAAATTTTACTTACTTAATATTGATTTCCATATTTGTATTCAAAAACTAACGAATTTTAGTTTATTGAAAATAAAACAAAACTATAAAATATGCAACATCGAAATGAAAATTAATAAGTTCTGCAAATCGATATTTCGTCTGAAATCACGTACTAAACAACAAATAAATCAGAATTTATTATTTAACGACAGCAACAAAAAAAAAAATCTTTTTGATTTCTCTTTATAAATCAAATTTCAAAAAACATAATTTAATTTTTAAGTAAAAGTAATTTAAAGTCTTTGAGCATAATTATTCAATTTTTTTCTTATTCAACTGAACAAAAATAATAAGTTAAGAAAAAGAAACATAAAATGTTTGTACTTGTATATATTATTACGAAAATTACAGTTTTTGTACGTTATAAACGTTTCATAATACAGGAAATCCTCGTTAATTCGAATAGTTCGAAATCCCGTTAGTTCGTAACTGTACTTTTGTCCCGGCCCGTGGTATATAGATTTACATATTAATGAATTCGGTTAGTTCGAAATATGGCTAATTCTAAATTCAAAGTGAAAATTCTGTCGGAAGCGTGATATGCGTATGTTAACTCGTTCGTTTAGATCGAAGTGGCTCCATACTACAATAGAACAATAGACAAAAAAAAAAAAAAAAAAACAACGCTAATCTGGTTAATATGGCATTGCTTTTACAGTAACACATTTTCGGGTGTTACCTTACTAAGAGGTACACTTTTTCCCTCATATCTCTAAAATATGGCTGTATTTCGGAATTGCAAGATTGGGCTACAAGTAGGAGATTGAGATATTTATAGGGATCTAAGCTACTACATTTTTGGCCACTTTAAAAATAATTGGTGCTACATTTTGAAGAATTCTGCTTAAATTTTTATAAAACCTATCTGGCAACCTGTAAGATTCTCATGGTTTACCCCACAGTTTTATAGACTATTATTATTAATTATTAATTAACAAAAATAGCATTCTGTATATGTAGTCTTATTTCATTTGCTTAATAAATTACATTAGTTAACATGGCATTTGACACATTATACATAAATATATAAATCTCGGATAATTCGAAGTCGTAATTATTTCGTCTCGTGAATTTCGAACGAGGATTTCCTGAAGGTAATTTATTTAGTTAGAATATATTAATAGACTGTATAGATACGAACAACACACTTAATAAATTACATTAGTTAACATGGCATTTGACACATTATACATAAATATATAAATCTCGGATAATTCGAAGTCGTGATTATTTCGTCTCGTGAATTTCGAACGAGGATTTCCTGAAGGTAATTTATTTAGTTAGAATATATTAATAGACTGTATAGATACGAACAACACATGTATGAAGTTATATATTTTATATTTTTATTATAAATTATACTTACGTTCATTTATCATTATTCAAGATTAAATATGTTTATTTGAGTATACAGTAAGGAGTCGACTTAAGATCGTAATTGGTTCCAAAGAATCGGTCGTAAACCGATTTGGTCGTAAGTCGGCCTTTATATTTTATATGGTATCTCTAAGTATCGTTTTCTTATTTTTACGCTTGTCAACCTTATGCGGGAATTTTTGACACGTGTCTTATAGGCGAAATGACAGGACCGCAGAATTTGAACGATTTAGGTGGCAAACATCTCATGCGGGTTTTACTTTGTCCCATATGGGCTAAAATTTCTGTTTATACCACCGACCGGAGGATAGTGTAGTTTTTAAGTATGACGGGAAGTAGTTCTCATTTAAAACCGAGGTATATTAAAACAAAGTATAGTCGCGGAAATTATTAAAAACACTCGAAAGTGGTAAGGGCGAGCTATAGGGCAAACAGAGAAGGAAAAGGAAAAAGGTATGTTATCGTGATAACTTCCAAGAACTAAAATAAAATTTTATACAAAACATAAACATCAATCTTCATCGCAAATTATCAAGTTGTCGCCAGACATACCAGTCGGTAGTCGTGGTCGTAAAGTCGATCAGTCGAAAGTCGCATAGGTCGTAAGTCCTATGCGACTTACGACTACTTGTAGTTTAATGCCTAATTTTAATATTATAATTCATAGATATTATAACAAATTGCAATCTATTGTACTTGTACTTTATTATTGTTGTAAGTACCGCCGCATAGAAGACAGACACTGCTTGTTCAATAAAGTAAAACAGATTTATTGCAGACAATAAAATTTAATCCTTTAAATAAATTACTTTTGCAATAATTTAATTTTTTTTATTTCTCTTATATTTTGAGATAAACATATAAATAAAAATATTGTTATATTTTATATTTTAACAGACTATTATACCGGTGTATAATGCACTCTGCAAATCCGAACTAATCATTGTATGGGTCCATTTGGATTAGCGATCGTACCTAAAGGAAGTAAATAAAAAAGGATTACAGATAAATTCGATATGTTTCTAAAAAATAATCCGCGATTTCTTTTTGTTTTTGGCTAAAACATTTAGGGGAAAACAAACAAAATTGGTTCGGATGAACGAGAGTCAACAGTATGTGTACTGTACATACACACACTGTTAAATTAATCCGATGCTAATTAAACTGATAATATTTACTATGAAATGAAATGCTGAAAACTCTACATATTGTTTTTTTAAGAAATATATGGACTATATTTCATTCACTCTAGACAATTTAACGTTATTCAATTATATGATTTCTGATTATAAAAATTTATATATGAGTTGGTAAGATCAGGTTAAATCTTTAATAAAAGTTGTTATTGTTTAATTAACGATTTACTTTTTGATATAAATTTTTAATAACTTTTTCTTACAGGAGAGAAGAATCGACTCATGTCCGAAGTATTGAATAGGAAAAAAAATAAATCAAAATCTTCTGTGTTTGGCTTTCTGATTCTATTATTTCGAAATTGTTAAATAATTGTGATTTAATATTAGTATGATATTAGTTATGTTTTAATGATTAGATTATTTATGTAAATTCGTATATAATAAATAAAATTTCACGTTTTCGCTGAAAAAATTAATGTTTCATTTTTATTACATAAATTATATTTGATAAACTTTTTAAAGTTTCCATTGCTAAATTAGTAAAGTATTAATATCTTTTACGATATTATTTTAAATCACTTTTTTATAATTTAACTTTAAAGCTGTCTCATATTCAAAATGGTTTATTTATTAGTCAATTATGATATTAAACTCTGTTAAGTTTTAATGTTACGCACTTCTTTTTAAAAAAATAATAACAATTTATTAACGGTTGTTTAATGATTAATGTTCAGTATTAACGCGTACAGAATTTATTATTAATGCAGAACAGCATTAAAATCTAACTTTCTGGTTATGACATTCACTAAAATACACGCTGTGTATAGCTTAAAGTTCCCAAGTGTTTATTTTATTCAATTAAATTATATCTAAAAATACGCTAAGTGACATATTCGAATGTTTAAACGAATAAAGAGCTATTGCTTACATTATTTTAGCTTGTGTGACATTCAATAACAAGTAAGTACAGCTACTCTTTGTTAGAATGAATTGATAACTCATGATTCTTTTAATACGGATTGCACTAAAAGCAATACAGAAGTATCTAAATGAAATTTATAAAACTGGAAAAAATACTATAAACTATTAGGCTACATTACTGTTTATATTATAAATTTGGATTTATTTTATATATTAAGCACTCAATGACTATTACAAAAGTAAATGTAAATAATATTCGACAATCTTTTCAATAAGTCTAGGATCCATTTTATGATGATATCATGAATTTATGATTAACTAAAAATTTCTTAAAATGTTGTTATAGTTCTAGACATTTATTCAAAAACATATGTTATTTTTTTAAACTCTTTAAATTCTTCAAACAATTTATAAATTACCATTAATAAATTTTAAAATTCTCTCTATAATTTCTTCAACGTCAGAGTTAAAATTCAATAGACTATTTAAATCGAGTATTTATAATTAATCAAAGGCCATTAGCAATTAATAATATATAATTTAGTGAATATTCAAATAAAGAAGAACTCTGTACCAATTTCCTTTCTTAAGTAGAAAAGATTTTTCTAACTCGACTAATTGACACCTGAATAAGAAGCTTGGTTAATATAATTTTGTAAGTCATTAGGACAGTTTCCACTTAAATTACAACTTGTGATTTCTGTTTCCTTGTTTTTCACTCTAAGAAACTGGCCGGAAATTGAACTCTCTCTATATATATTCAATTAAGCTATAATGAAAATACTTTATTTAATATAAACTTATATTTAATAATTCCGAATTTCTTCAAACATTAAGTAAACACAATTTACAAAGAATTGTCATTATAAGATCCAGTTATTGTTTTCTCATATTTAATGATTTAGAAGAGAAAATAGAGAACGTTGAAAATTGCTTTTTTTTTTATGAATACACAAATATTTAATAACTACTTCTAAATATAGTTAAATAAAATTGGGAAATAAGTAAATATAACAATTTTATATACATTCTTCGTTTCTATATTTCAATATTTCAAAAGAAGATAAATAAAAGAAGAACTAATCCCACATGCAATAAATTTTGTAGATTAGTGGTTTAATTGTTAACTTTTGGATATGGATATTTTTGTTCCCTTTAATGACTTTAGAAAGTTCAGAATCATCTTTTATTGCGTTATAAAATATTTTTATAGCTCTTCTTACAACTTAAAAAAATTGTAATATAAAATTTTATTAAATAAACAGAACATTCATTTTATTATTAATAGTAGAAAAATGCCAGTTTTGAAACAACCAATAGTTTGTTGATCCACCTGAAAAAAATTTAAATCCACTACTCATTAGTGTAAAATTATAATTATTATTTTTTTAATTAACAGAATCATTAAATTAAATAACGTATAAACTGTTGTAGAGATATTATATTATAAAATATACAAAAGAGAAAAATACTGATTTATTTTATATTAGATATTTTAAAAATGTGTATTATTATATTGAAAATAAACATTCAAATCTGACGATTAATTAATGCTATTGATATTAATTTGTTATATACTGTAAATGTAAAAATTGCGCTATTTTAATATACTCTCCTTTAAGATTTTTTAATAATTTCGATATTAATTATTAAAAGATATGCGTTTCTAAGTATTTACCTTTATAAATTTCTTAAATCTGTGTTGTTTACTTAATAAACTACTGTAATCACTTTTCTTCGGAATAAGATATTTAAGTTCAATGAATTAGTTGTTATTTTTATTATATAACCTGACAAGATATCTCAATTTGTATTTCACTTTTTCAATAACATTACACATTAAATTTGGTATATAAAAATTTAATATTTGCAAAATAACCAAATAAATTTGTTTTTATTGCAAAGTAATCAATTTATAAGAGAATGTATTACATTTACGTAAAACACACCGTGGAAAGATTCTGATAATAATTTTATTTTTGTAAGTTAGATAATCTTGTTAGAAATGACATTTGTACAGAAAAATAGTTAATAATTTTGTTTGTTATGATGATGTATAATTAAAGAAGGAACATTTGCGTTTTAAAACTCTTGCAGCGATAATTTATACAGATTTCTTAAGAAAACGTCAATGTGAAGACATAAATACTAAAAGGCATTTGTTAAGGCATTTTATATGATAAACAAGGCTTATTTTTATAACACTGATGGGCTTGTTCAAAATACAATCTACTCATAGCTAAAATGTCAATAATAATTATCCTTTATCTGTTTAATTCCGAGTGATCATTCTTTTACGTAAACAGTTCAAATCCGTTTCGGAATGCACTTTCAAATACAAAATAATTGAAAAAAAAACAGTATTTATTCAAAATCGCATTAAAAAAATGTTCCTTTTAGATTTTCTCCATTAAAGATCGAAACATAGAACAACCTTCAGAACTTTTTTAAAATCAATTGTAATTTTCTTAAAACTTCAAGGTTAAAATAATAAAAATATATTAACCGATGTTTTTTACTTCCGTAACCGTATTAATCAGAGATAGTTGATATTTTTATGATTTTTTAACCTTGACGTTTTAAGAAATTTACAATTGTTTATAAAAAATAATAATAATAGCCACACCATTAATATGCTTATTTTTATATGTACAAAACATTCAGATTCCAGAACAAACAAATTTTTTTATTTTTTATTTTTTCGAATCGGTCGAACGTCCCACAGAAAAACGTTCCAATTTCATGTATTCGTGATTCACTTTGGTTGCTCGTCCCGTGGGCTCATTTTTTTCCCAAAATTGACTATTCATGACAAAAAGTTCGTGACAATTCAACCCCTGCGAGGAGCCAATTCCCACACGCTCACTCGCCTCACTTTGCTTCCTTCGCTCTATTTCCCGCGAGGTGGACAGTCTTCNTTATTTTTTATATTGTTTAAAAAAATATCTATGACTATAACTTTATAAAGTTTTACAAGATTTATACAATGGAAAACGTTTTTCATTTATTTCTCTAAAATACTCTCATGAATAAATTTTTTCGTTGCATTATTTACTTCCAAAGTTATAGTAATTTCTGTTGCCGTAATAGACTTTATAAATATAATGTATCATTAAATGTTATCCAAGTTTAAAACTATTTAATTGTATGTCACTCTATGCTTCGATGCGCTTGAACTCAATAAGAGAAAATTTTGGACTTTCGTCATTAAGCAGTAAACTTGCCTATTTCGATCAAACGGAGTACTGTAATAAACTTTAGTTAACTTTTGTTCTCTGTATATTCATTAGCCTATATATATATAATAATATATACTATATATAATTAAGTATATAATTAAGTATATACATACTTAAAAATTTCATTTTTATTTTATATACAATATGCAATTAAACCTATAATAAGTCACTTTCTATTATAAAACAGTCTTTCAAATAGAAGAAAAATCCTAAAAATGAGTAATTTAGTTTGTTATTGTTGTTTTTTAATTCAAATTTTGATAATTAATATCTTACAATAAGAAATACGATAAAATCATATGTTCAATCAAAATTCTTTTGTTTTGATCTAGAATATTAGTTTTTAATCTGGGTACAAGGACTCATGGATGCGAGGGACCTTTCTTTGGAGCTATTAGAAGAGTTTAAACAATATACAGTATACTTAACTAGTAATAAAAATAAAGTTGTAGAGTTTATAAAACATTTTATGAAAACTACTATTATTTATTTTACTTCAGTCTTAATCGATATTAAAATAATAATACTTGTTTTAGTAATTTAGTATGTAAGTAACTTTTATTGTTAAATTAGTTTATTCTACAATTACCGTATTATTTTTTGAATTTTTGTTTAAACATTGACAAGCAAATCTGTATTTTGTCATTTAGAATAACACTATTTCTTTCTTCGAAACATTTAAATCATTCTTCTTTTAAATTGAGAGCTGTCTTTTTAAAATACAATTTTAATAAAATTATGCAAATTTTGATTTTAAAAGTATAATTATGTGATTTTTTTTCTGTTAATCTTAACATAGAATTAAATGTTTATTCTATTAATGAATGGGCGCAAGAGGAATTTTCTTAATCGCTTAAACTATAACCGAAGTTAAACGTGAAAATCTTACCTTCTTTATCATAAAAGGGTGAGAGCACATTTTTATTATTCAAGGAGCAGAGGCAGTGGAAAATTAATCTAGAATACCATACAAGTAAACATTTCTAATCTGGTATTTCTTAAAATCAGAGAATAATTTATTAATATATAGACTATTTTTTTTAAATACATTAGATATGTTCACAAACCTTTTTTAAAAATATATGTAAATTCAAACAAAAACATCTGAGATGTTATAAAAATTGCCAAATAAAAACTTATGACAATTTAGACGACAGCCAAAATTTTTCTTAGGAGTTTTCCTTGGATAAAGATAAGCTTGGCGCTTAGAAGCGGTACCCACAGGATTTTTATCCTTATTATTCTTTTCTAGATTTAAGCGTCAAGCTTATCTTTATCAAAGGAAAACTTGTAAGAAA